TTAAATCAAATTTTCCCAAGATTATTAGCCTTTCATCGTCCTCTACATATGTGTGCATATACACAATGTTTTCAATTTTCCTGGACAAAACTCGTAATCAGGTACAGAATAATGCGATTCTATTCTCGATTTTTGACTCACGGCGGAATTTCAACTAGGCGGTTTCAGTGGGACTTGACTTAATTTTCTTTGGACGAAAGTTTCGGACGGAAAGATTTCATTCCTGATTTTTTGACTTACAGTAGACTTCGATTGAATGGTTTCGTCAAACCAAATTTTGACGAAAGTTTTGATTGAAAAGACTTTGTCCCTAATTTTTCGTCTACGGTAATTTCAAATTGAGCAATTTATTTCAGTTAATTTTCTGCAAAGGGGAAAGTCGATATTTTCGATTTCGATTTTATCAAATTCTTCGAGTAAAACAAATGATCTATAACGACGAGGTGATGTTATATCTATTTCTTTAATTAGAAGAATTTGAATCTTTACGAAGAAATTATTTTGTCCTATATCTGTACATCATCAAACAGATTGCAATTACAAATATAGTATATTTTTATACTGTTCCGAATGTTTTAGAAACGGCTGAACTAAATACAACGATGTCCGCAATAATCTCCGTGGAGATTAATTAAGACTACGAATATCCAGATTCTGTTTAATCAAGGCCCTAGTATATTTTCGTATGAAGAATAATTTTTTACTTGTCCTATCACATTTGGTACAATATAACATTCCCACTATTGCGAAATTTTTTTTCTCATTTACATTTACACACTATGCTTCTGTATCCAATTTTGTACATACAGTACTGTGCAAAAGTATTTTTAGCAACGTATCATGTTATTAAGAGATATTTTCATGCAATATCACGTGAAAACAAATCATTAAATGTTACTTTCATGATGTGGTATATATTTATGCTATTAAACTATTTTATAATGAATAAATTGAAAAGCCAGTCAAAAATAAATTATTTACAAAGACAAAGTGCATACAAGTGAGAAGTGATTTTATCGAAAAATTATTTAACATGATGCTCAATGATATATGACAACGAGAGAACAAAAAGTGAAACGAAATTTTAATTATTTCAAATTGTAATGCTTTTTGTCAAATTACAGATATGAAGAAAAGCAAATATATATATGAAATATTTATAATTTTAATCATTACAATTTTAAAGTATGAAATATAAGACCACTAAAAAGTAACACAACAGTAATACAACAAACTAATTTGCTCAATCAATGTTCTATAAAATTATATATTAGTAATTCCGAACTTCTAAAAATGTCCGTAAACCAATTTACGAAAATATGGGACGCGCACAATGTACGTACAAGGATCTACCAAAAATCCGAAGTACACCACGTATATCCAGCGGATGAAACGAATATTCGTTTAAACTCGATTGCACAATATGAATTTACAGGTTATGATTTGTTACCTGCGAATATCATCTTGCAAAACTCCGCGCAAATGACAACAGGTATCAACCGCGAGCATTTATACTAAATCAGCTAAGACTTTTGCCCGGTACTGTACGTCCTCTCACCCCCGCCGCCCTATCTACACGCTTATCCGCGTGCTGCGGTACACCGAGGCGTACTATCCGCATGTCCCATTGCATGCCCACCACTCCTGTTCACGTGGCAGGTCGTTGGAACCGGAAGTGAGAGCAGGAATCGGTCCACCGGTGGCGGTTGGCCAACGACGATACCTATCGAGCTACGCGTGTATCTGGTCGGCTCCGAAAAATAAATGAGGCTAATGGAAATTGATCGAAACCCCCGGACGTGTTTTGCGATCCTCCGAGCTGTTTTGCGCGCCCTGATGGATGTACCTCGTTAGGCTGGGAAAAGAACATCCGGCTAACAGCGCCGGCTCTGTTCGCAGAGATATCGGACGATGCCGGTGATGGTGGTGGTGATGGTGGTGGTGATGGTGGTGGTTGTTCTCTGGGCACTACGGGGTGGCGGAATGGGGCGATAGAAACATTGGCTTTTTGGTGAAAAGGTTTCGTAGAGGGAAATCGAGGCATCGCGCCTGCCATCCGAGTGTACTCGGTGTTTGATCAGTGATTTGGGTTAACGAGGAACACCTGCCAAGTGAATCGAGTGGTCGAGTAGTGGCGAATGGGTCATTGGTCCCCGACATGGAAAGATTGTTCTTGACAGCGTGCTACTATTTTTTTCGCGATAGGTTTCAGAGTGCCACTCTGAATGGCGACGCTTGATTGCGGCTTGGCAATTCATTCGTGGGAATTTTTGTTAGCATTTGAATACAAGAAGAGTGTAATTTCTCCTTGTTTGTCTGCGACAGACTTAATAGATTTCTTTAGGATATTGATGAACTCAATAAATAATATTGACGGATATAAGTGAAACAAGAATAAATAAAGATGGATGGAAAGTCCGCCTGCAAAGACATTTGACTTTATTGCTTCATTATTGCGAATAAATCAATTTCATGAAATATATCAAGTGAACGTAAAGCTTGAACGACTTTAAAAGTTTCAATTTCAACTTAATCGAATTATTTCGATCCTGTTGTTGCAAGAATTCAAGCGAAATTGCAATAAAAATCTTCACATTTTAACTCGATTACACCGACTGCCTAAAGATAGCATACATCGAGAAACGAATGGCTGTTACTAACGTCGTTGAAACAAGTCGTCTCGTATAAAAATTGCCAATTACTAAATGCTATAGTAAGATGCCCTTCCAATTCCCCGCCCGATGAAACTTGCGACGGATTCAGTTTTATTCGTTGTGTCGTGCGACTAGACGCGCGAGATTACGTGCTCGCCGAGAGACGAACCGTAAAATCGGATACACCTGTCGATAATCGTCAAACGCGCTTCCTAACTTCACGAGATCGCAACAACGGGAGAGGTAGAGGGGAGAGAGAGTAAAGCGTGGCTGGCCGCTTATCTGCTAGGCGGCTTATCGGGACTGGTATAAATCGTGACACGCGGCCGTAATACCGAACTAGAGGGGGCGGGGGGGAGGAGTGGAGGGTGGTCTCGTCTGCTGCAGGAATAATCCCGAGGGTGCCGGTCCAGGTACAAACGATACAAATGGCGACATCCGAAGAACCGGCTGAGTTTTGTGAAACGCCGCCCGAGATTACGACCTCGGTGTGTCCGGACTCCACGTGTCTCGTTACGACCAGCGTTCGTTTTTATCAATCGACGATAGATACGTGCATGTAGTGGAAAAGTGGCCAAGAATTGGATGTCTGGGAATGATTATTCTTGTGTTTCGTTACCTGTGATTGATAACTTGGAAACACGATATCTTCGTGGGCATTTCGAAATTTTCAAATATTCTCAGAAGCTAATGTCAAGTAGTTATTATGCTACTTTGTAGATATTCGTATTTAATTTCACGAATAATTCTCACAACATTTATGACTGCCGATTTTGATACATTGCGGGAAAATATATGAAATATATAATATAAAAATATTCAAAGTGCAGTACAAAAACTCGAAACTACGAATTTTGAAGAATCCCATTCGAATCATAGAGGAAAAATATATAAAATGTGTTCAGTTCAAAGCTCGGACGTACGAATTTACATGAAAAATCCACGGAACCTCCGATCTAGATACCATTTCCAATTGGCCGAAAACTGGCGAGTCGTTGCCCTGTAACACATTTTGACACATCCTCGAAGCGTTATCGGAAGAAGGTGATTGCGTAGAAAGATGTTCGCGTATCGGCAGAAATCTCGTGGCGAGTGTTCAGGGCCCAGTACGGAGACTCGGTCCAATAACTCCATTGTCGAGTGTATCGCGGCGTTTCCTGGTATATCCTCATCGACTCCGGTTCTGCACCGGCGATATCCCATAATGGTGGCGTTACGAGAAGACCAAGAGACCGTATGCATCGAGAAGTGGCCGCGTCGGTATCTGGATAACTATATTATATGGCGTATACTTATACGGAGAAAAGTGCTCCGGGATAACGGTCCGTTCTCTACGATCAGCGGTACCTGCCGGTTCGAAAAAGCCACTCGCGAGAGCCGAGGAGGAATCGAGAGACCGCGCGCGAGTCAGAAATCACCGATACTGAGTATCGATCACATGCGATTAAACCGAGCATCGAACGATTATGAAACATTGAATTAGTCGAAACTTTCGATGGATTTTTTTACAATCTTATGTATCTGAGTGAATCTATCTAATTTAATGAACGAAGCAACTATGATCTTTCTTTCCCCTGTTAGATCTACGTCTCTCTACGTCTCTCCCATTTTGTAAATCATTTTTATGGTGATGTTTATTGCAATTATTTTTTTAACGTGCTATTCATCTTGTTTTATTGTCTCAAAGACACGTAGAAAATTCTCGATCACTCGAAAAATTTTACGAATTATAATTACACTTCTTCGTATTATTGAAACATCAATAATTTTCTCTTTTTTTTTCTAAATGTAGATAGAAGATTCGTGAGAAACTTTGCGCTTCGTTACATTTGCAATGTTACCTTGAAAATTAATCTCTGCATCTGTATATAGCATTTTGTGGTAATAAAATAATATGCGATAGTTCGCCGGGAACCAATAATTTTATTATCGTTTAGTCTTCAATATGGTACCAGGTACGATCGTGAAATATCCGCAGCTTGAAAGATGAAACTGATTGCGAAAC